GTAGGTGCTCTTCATGTTCCTTAAAGTTCAAATTCTTACTCAAAACTAGGATGTCATCTAGATATACAACCGTAAATCTGTCAAGCCAGTCTTCGAACGTATCATTCATGACTGGAAGGCATTGCATTAGACTCATAGTGACCATATATGGTTCTAGAATCTAAATGTAGTCTTGTGCTGATCTTCGGGTGCAAATTCTATCTGATGGTACCCTGTTAAGTTTTAACAAATCTATTCTAGAGAAATATCTACTTCCCTGTAACCTGTCCAGCAGTTCATCTATAAGTGGTAATGGTTCTGCATTCTTCACTAATATAGCATTCAAACCCCTATAGTATATACAGAGCCTCAATTCTCCTTCTTTCTTCGGAACAAACAAGGCACTTGAGCCATAGAGCAATGAACGATGCTTGATCCACCTTTTTTTTTTTTTTTTTTTTGATGAAAACCAGAATGGGACTACTACCCTCTTCACCCGAATAAAATGTACGGTCATTACAGCTGAATCTGGGCCACATTTCAGTCTAGATACTGCTATAATGACCATATGTTGTATTCGGGTGAAGAAGGTAGGGGTTTAATCCACCTTAACTACTAATTCTTGAATCCGCGTACCCAGCTCCTCTAGTTGGTACTGTACCATCTTATAAATTGGACCCTTGGGAATCTTGTTACCTGGCTCTATCTCAATCTTACGCTTGATTGGTCTCTGTACTATTCCGTTAGGCTCGTCCTGGACATCTGCAAACTCCTGTAACAGCTTCTTCACTTGGGGTGGTACCAACTCTATTTCCTCCTTGGCTCTCCCTTCTTTGCTTTCACCCTTTTCTAGGGTGTCACATATGCCACATAAACTGATCTCCTAACTTCTGCTTGCTTGTGTGCCTAGCGAACGCGGGAGCACTTGTGTAGCACATGTGCAATGACTTGCTGATTTCTGCTGCTGAGATTGTCTGCGAGGCTGTACACTAACTGGTAGGGTTAGTTTTGCGATTTTGTTTGGCTGAGGACTAACCGAGAGATCCGCCTGTGTGGAAATTCGTGAGGGACAGATCTGTAATTTTCGGAAAATACAGACCTGGTACTAACCAAGTTCCTACAGCTACCCTAACTGCCTATAGCAGGCCCGGGCTACCCCTAGGACAGACAGGCCCTAAGTGGCCTATACTGCTATACGGTCCTATAGCCTACAGCCAGGTACGGTAGAGGCCGAGAGGCCGAAACAGCAACGGTACCGGTAGGTCCAGTCAGTCCGGTCTAGGTCTAGGCTAGTCTAGGAAATCTATAAGCCCTGTAGGGGAATCGAGTAGGGACTTTTGGCTTTTCATTTTTCGCGTACAGCGTTGGTGGCCAACTAAGTTTGCAGCGCTGAAGACCTACAGCGGCACCTGGAGGTTTCAGCAGAGTGAAGCAGCCATAGCCGCCTATCTGAGACAGCCATAGCTGGGGCTGTGCTCAGCGCATCTACCCGCAAGGGGTATCTGCGATCGGCAGGACTAATTGGAGGCTCTTCACAGAGTACATGTGGGTACTGCTGCTGCGATAGCAGCTAGGCAGCCATAGCTGCCTTCTTCATCGTTAGAGTGACTTATCGCCACTGGAGACTACTTCGCTGTTCATGATCTGCATCCGGGTGTATGGCGCTGGCCTCTGGGAGGCTGTTTCTCTGCAGCGCTAGACTCTGAGAGTGTGGTAGTGAGTGGAGTGTGTGGTTCTCGAGTGGCGAGATACTGAGTTGAACTCTGTAACGATAATTGAGGTTAACTGTGTTGGGTTGGCTCATCATCTGGGTTACTTTCCAATTGTGATCTTCGCAGTGTCATCATATGATTGGTTGTTGGGAGTTCATCAGAGAGAGAGAACACTGTGTGTATTCTTCCCATCTGTGCATGGTTGCTATTCCGCTGTTTATCTCTGGTCTATGTGCAGGTGGACTCTGTCTCTTCCTCCCCTGTGTCTCATGCATGTATGGGCGTGTGTGAGTTCTTCTGTGTGTGAGTGGCAATCAAATTGTCAAACAACTAAGATCATAACACATAGATAAGGAAGAGTTTACTCCGGACCTCGAAACTGACAGGCTTTGTTCTTCTGGTCTCCTTGTTCGTTTGGAAGCCAGCACTCAACTTTCACCTGTCTTTACATCTCCTTTTGCCGCCATCCCCGAATCCATGCCTAGAACCATATCGAAGGGGAGATCCTCTTCCACTAGAAGGGTCGAAGAGTGTAATACTCTGTCTACACTCTCTCCAGCCTCTAACTGGAATTACCCTCTAGGTACTGCCCCATTCTCATCAGACTATTGTTGGCCATTCTAGAGACTACTGGCTCATCCAAATCTTGCAACGTGTACCTGATAGCTGCTTCTCCAACGCGTGCACCCGTCCTTCAAGCTGTGCCAATCTCTTTTGCATGCGACTAAAGACAACGAGAGGTCGACTCTGATACCATTGCAAAGGTTTGAAATCTCACACCCACCTTACTCAACTCAGCATGCATGCACCACACAAAACTTCAGAAGCACAGGACAAGATTCACACGATACAAGCGCACTTGGAAATTATTTGCAAGTTCAAAGATATTTACAGCAGGTCTCTCACTCTCAGCGGCTATGAATGACGGCAACTTCATCAACCAGGTCTCTCTCTCTCTCTCTCTCTCTCTCTCTCTCTCTCTCTCTCTCTCTCTCTCTCT